GTCCATGATAATTATTCTAAGATCAGAATGCTCCCCAAGTGAACGGGTTACGCTCCACTATCTATCGTTCAGACTAATTCACTTCTCCATTCACCGCTCGGGCGGGTTCCCGACGCGCGTACGAGTGCATGGCGATCAGCTTAAGGGCTCGGAGACTCCTCGGGAAGGATTAACGAAAAACCACCGATGGAATCTCTTCGGGGGTTTTTTGACGTCATTTCAATTTCACCGCCGGTGAGTCAATAATCATCGGATGCTTCTCGACGCAAGTCCAATTGTTCGGGAGAAAATCAGCCGACCCGTCGAGTATTCCTGCGACCTGCGATTCGCGCGCAGCGCCCGAGCTCAAATCTCCGATGACATATCGCTCGTCATCGTCGTTGTTGCTTCACTCCATACGAAGCTCTATGAAGTTCTTCTCTCTCAAACGGTCCGTCAGTTGGTGTCTGTGGCTGGCTGATCCTTTCTCGCTCGTTTTCTGTCGCGGCTTGTTTTCTCTCGCTCCTCGTTCCGCTGCTGGTTTGAGTTCCCTTTCTCAGAAGTGGAGGGAGTTGTTTATGAAGGCCAAGCTCCGCCCCGAAATCCTCCCCTTTTCAAAGGGACCGCCTCTTTTACGTTCCGTCGACGGCGAAGGCGACGTCGGTTGCGAAAACATGGCTGCCGCACAAGGATGATCCGATATGCGTGCGGCTAGTTGGCTCGCAGAACCGCTCGTTGACTGTTAAACCGTCCGGCTGAGAGACGTACCGAGCCACCGACCGACGAACCGGCCGACCGAACGCGCAAACGTGAAACTGAGCAAGCCGGACAGAGCTCCGAGGATTCGCCCGCAAGCTGTCCGGTGCACGATGATGGAATCACTGTTAGGCGATAGAAGAACGTTGATTCCATCCTCTAAAGTTGTTTCCGTCTGCACCGACAACAGCGGCAGCTGTGGCGAAGCCGGAGAGATTGAGCTTGACGAGCTCGATCTGCAGTAGTTGTCGAGGCTCAAATCGAAGATCTCCGCGTCGTCGGTCGGCGCTTCGAATCAGGAAGAGATAGACGGACAGACAGAGAGATAGACAGACGGTTAGACGGAGATCGACAGCGCTGTCTCGATCCCGAAGTTTGACAACATAGTGGCTTGAATTGTTCAGTTTGTTTTGGTCGTCGGTGTTCCTATGGTTGTCGACCACGGCAAAACACATCAGCGGACCTCACCGAACCGTCGTCTTGTCAACTCAGCTGAGCCTTCGGTCATCGACAACGCTCGGTGAACTCCGGGTGCTCAAGTCGAATTTCCGGAAGAACAGTACTGTGCTGCTTCTTGATTTTTCATCCGAACCGCATGGTTTGGTGGTGCGCGCTTCGCTAGCCAGACCTCGAGGGTGAGTTTGCTTCATCGACATTTACGCGCGGAGAACGTTCCAGCTTACAGCTAAATCCGGCGAATCGGGTGCCGGCGCGATGAGAGGAAGACGTTCCCCGATCGATTGTCCATTCACGACTCCGCCACCCTCGTTCATGATCAAGAATTGCGATTGATGGGTCGAACGCGTGTTGTCTTTCTCCGCGTTGTTTTTCCGATGACACCTGTAGCCCGCATCGTTCGACGTTATCGTTTAGCGCACCAGCTCTCGCTCCCCGATCAGGCGGTGACTAGGTATCGGAGACTATCCCATTCAGATTCTGATTCCTCGACGCCACGACGAAGAGCATGCGGGGAGAGTCACGGATCCCGATCAGATCTCTGTTTGCATAATAAACGAAAATCATAAAACCGTGAAGATACCTATCTGGCGGGTGTGAAAGCCATTTGGAATACGCGGCGTATCTCGTATCCCGATAGCATCGTGAGGACCGCGGCTCAGTGAGATCAGATGGAACATCAGTGAAGCTTGAGACGACTAGTCCCACGCTCCCATCAATTCACTCGATGCCCGCAAAATTATCGAGTGCGCAAAGATGTTCCTGCACCGGGGAAATTTGCACCGGGAGCATTTGACCCGGAAAAACTAGAATTCGCGAAAGCCTTCCGCCGCAAGTCTCTATCTATCTCCGCGCAACGAGCGACCGATACTCGCTGCTTTAGCGGTGCAAGCAACGTGTTTCCGTTGCAATCAAGGATCTGATCGAATCCAGAGAATAGGGCTCATAATATCTTGTCGTCAGCCCCGTTGAGTAGCAGTCGCGCTTGTGATCAATCGCCGCGATGATTTTAGGCTTAATTTTCCCTCCGGAGACTCGGTCGACGTGAGCGAACTTGCAAGTGAGCATCTCGAGACTCCTCGCTTCAATGTACACAATAGAGGCAAACAAGTCAAGATGATAGCTCTCGAGTTCTGTCGCCTGATCGGTCGTTCCATCGTCGGTGCTGAACAACGTTGGAGGAACAACATATGTTTATTTGGTTGGCCTCGTCGATTCCGCCAGAGCGGTTTTATTCAAAAGGCCATCGAACGAGAGAAATTCTACTGTTGTTGCTGCTGCTGCTGCTTCTGTTGTTCGTCGTCCCTTGATCCCCGTAAGACCTCGTCGTGGTACCATCGGACGCACTCTGTGTGCAAGGTTTGTTTGAATCGCGGCGCCTTGCTCCGACTGTGGTTGCACGACGCCGCCGATGTCGACGACGGGTTTTTGTCGGTACGATCTCCTCATCTGGCGGCAGCGGCGGAGGACCCAGAGGCGTTGAGCTAGTGGCTTTGTACGAATCGAGGTGATACATCATTGCATTAGAAGCATTCACATTCATCCGACTGAGAGACTCCGAGGTTCGAGAGAGGGTAATCGCTCGAACGCAGACTCGATTTTAAGCGGGGTCCTCTTGACAAGCCCGAACGTCGAACGCTCGCTCTGAGCGTCCATGGACCAGAGCAGAACGGTCGACTTTTGGCCGGCGATTGGTCGGCGAGTGCAGAAGGAGTTTTCCGGACGTTTTCGGTGGTGAGGTGCCGGCTCATCGAGTCACCCTCCTCGGGTTTTCGTGAGGATTTTCACGCCTATAGAGTTGGCCGCAACATGGAGCATTCGTTGTCGGCTCTCTCTGTCAGCAGGCATGCATGCAAGCCAGTCTGTCCGTCGGTCGGTCGGTCTTTCTACAATATATTACCGGCTCCAAGCTTCGTGCATTGTATCCAGCCGATGTCCCTCGTTGAGAGTCCGTGGCGAACGATGTTGAGAGATCTCAATGGGGTGTTGAAAATTTCGGATTCGGAATGCTCCATTTCACTGCTCATGGAGCTGCAGGCTGCGCTGATGGCTCATTATTGAATTATATTTTCCCTCGACCAAAACAAGATTCAATCAGCCCGATCGGGAGCTCACCCTCACGCCGCATTGTTCTCCAACGCTAAATATGAGCGACTCCTCAACCGCGATGAACATCTGCGACCGAGCCGACTTCTGACTGAGGTCGAGTAGGCTTCTCTCGACTGCTCGAGACTCCAACAATGACCTCCTATCTCCCGTATGATCTCCCGTATCTTACGAGCGAAAAAAGAAAGAAGCGGCCAGTCGTGTGTCGCTCCGATAAGCTGGAGTTCTGTTTCCTCCGGGAGGGGAAAACGACTCCCTAAGTGATCGGTTCGCATTTCCCATCGTCGAGGAGCGGACGATGGGACTCTCGTCCCTCGGGATGACCCTCATTAGAGAAACGTTTGAGGTTCGAACGAGGGACGGGAGCGATAGGAGACGTTCTTGCAGTGGCTGTCATCAAGAAGTTGAGCCGAATCGAGCGCGAACGACGCGCTCAGTCGGTCTCACGTGATAGCAGTTTACGAGCGGATTTCTTTGCGCTCGCCGCTGCTCCGTGATGTCTTTCTGAGCTTGAAAAAGACTTGGGTGCGGCTTGGCGGACAGTACAAAATCCATAATCGGATTGTTACTCGTCACTTCTCTCCGGCGCCGCCACCGCCGCTTCTGCTCGAAAAGGTCATTCTTCACGACGAGCAGAAGAGCAGACGGACGAACTGATGGACGAACGGACGAGAGAACGAGTGACAAAGCCGGTCACAATGAAGCGAAAAGATCTAGCGGCAGCAGCGTAAGAATGAAGAACAACAATCCCGAAACAATGCTCTCTTCTTTTTACGGAAGATCTCTTTGCGGCGTGACACACGCCAAGACCACGGCAACCGCACACGCGGCCAGAAGTCACCGAAATGAAGAAGTGATTCCGCTGCCAAGGGTGTTGCTGCGACCGACCCGTTCCGAAATAAGTTCACTGTCGCTGAAGAGGCACGAGCGCGCAAACGCTCCGTTCAATCGTCGCGCTTCCGTGAGACGACATCCGATCGCAGAAGTTCGGCGCTCTCGATTGATTGTTTGCACGGCCGTTCTCTCGACGCGTCGGACTTCCTCCCGAGTTGCTTCGGTACCTCATTAGAGCGGGACGGAGCTCTCACCATCTCGGAAACTGTGGCTGCCCTTATTCAGCGGCGGCTCTTCACATTTGAAGAGGTGCTCTTTTTTCTGCTTTGATGATTTCGAAGAAGCATTCTCAACTGCCTTGTGCGTTGTAGGTGTCTTCTAGAGAGAAACAAATGGGCACAATAAGAACGTGCAAGCGAGTGGAGAATTCGGCGGCGGCGGCGACAACCCCGAAGACTTTACCACCAAGCAAAGAAACCGCGAGGAGCGCTCGTCGCTAACCGAACATTCACAATGAAGAGCCGGCCGGATCATTTCGTTGAAGTGTCTAATGAACAGCTACACACGGTCACACAAACAGACCGAAGTTTGGCTGAAGGTGGTTATAAGCGAAACGCACCGTAGGGGGGACGGCTCGAGGCACCGAACCCTCGTAATTTTCTTCCGCTGTTTGTTCTTTCGCTCGTGTGTCGACGTTCTCTTTCGGAGACACATCGACTCCACAGCTGTTCCTCTGGCTTCAACAATATGTCGAATTGTCCGTAAAGCAAAACACGGAAACGGGGGCTTTAGCACACGGGCTCTTCGGCTCCTGTGCGGGGACTTTTTTTTTCGCATAATACCCTCCGTCGTCGAACCGAGAGACTAATTCGTCATAATTCTCTTTTCAGGAGCATCCTCGACTAGGAGGGACTCCGTTGGCGATGTTGGCCGCCCAGTGCAACAAACTGGCCTCGAAAAGTCCTCCTCCGCTGGCAGACGCTGCCGTAGGCAAAGGATTCCATCCCTGGAAGAAGAACAACTCAGGTCCCACTCCCGTTTCTCTCGGACAGCCGGCGCCGGCGTCCTCCCCCAACTCGTTACCGTCGCAAAGTCCGCTCTCGACCCCTCCGGGCCGTTCGCCCGGAACCCACACGCCCACGTACAGCATGACCGCAACTCCTGGCCGACCCGATTCGCAAGGCAGCAACATGATCGTTTCTGGTCAAACGCAAGTGGCCACGTCGTATTCGGATAGTTTGTTCTATCCGGCGCAGAGTGTTGCTAGTCACCATCACGGAGGCCAAGACCCGAGCCAATTGTACGCTCGGCCAGCGTACGAGTCGTGGCCGTTCAACGTGGGTCAGACCCAAGTCAAGAGCGAGATGCCCAGTGCGGCCCCGGCCGCCACGGCGCCCTGGTGGGACATGCACGCGGCATCGTCGTGGGGTCAACTGGAAATGGGAGTGCCGTCCGGAGGGATGGCCCATCAACTACCTTCGAGTTATCCCCAGTCGGATTATAGCTTCAGTTCGAGTCTGGCATCGACGCCCGCCGGCCTTCTCGCCGGCACAGGAAACCATCAGCTTCTGCAGGATACGTACAAGACGATGCTGAGCTCGTCGGGTCAGAGCAGTAGCACGGCTACGAGCGGCTCTTCGTTTCTGTCCTCGCAGTCGACAGGCGTGACGTCTTTGGCCAGTGTGCCGTCTCCGCGATCCCAGCGAAGGTACACTGGAAGGGCGACCTGTGACTGTCCTAACTGCAAGGAAGCAGAACGACTCGGCCCGGCGGGCGCGCATCTGCGCAAGAAAAACATTCATTCATGCCATATTCCTGGCTGCGGGAAGGTGTACGGCAAAACTTCGCATTTGAGGGCCCACCTCAGATGGCACACTGGCGAGCGTCCTTTTGTGTGCAACTGGTTGTTCTGTGGTAAGCGTTTCACTCGTAGCGACGAGCTCCAACGACATCTAAGAACACATACTGGCGAGAAAAGGTTCGCATGCCCTGTGTGCAACAAGAGGTTCATGAGGTCTGACCATTTATCAAAGCACGTGAAAACCCACAACGGGGGCAACTCCGAGAAAAAGGGCTCCTCCTCAGGATCGTGTTCCGACTCGGAGAACTCGCAGTCGGAACCCCAATCCCAGGGTGGCATGAGTCAATCTCCGACGCCGCAACTCATGACATCACCACCGTTATCGACGCTGAATCCGGCCCTGATGAGTCCCTTGGTGCTCCAAGGACACCACTCGGAGCCGCCCTCGACGGCTCATCCGCACCTTCTCATGGCGGCGCCCGACCACTTCGCGCCCCACATGAGGAAGTAGACGGTTCGGCTATAAATTGTGGATTATTATCGAAACAAACGGAACGTTAATAATTATCAACTCAAGAGAATCTGAGAGCTCTCACTCACTCATCACCACTCGGATCGGCTGGGAACACCTCCTCCGATGCGACCGATCGTTCCCGGAGTCAATCCTCTGGTTCGCTGCCATTAAATACTCGTCCACGCGCCCGCCCGCCTGCCCGCGAGCGGAGCAACGAACAACCTTCCGAAGTTAACAAGCAGCAGCAGCAGAACCCCGGCCCGGAGATCGAATGAAGTGAAAGTAAACCCTCTGTTCGGGCCCTCTTGCGAGACCGTCACCAGCATCACAATTGTTGTAGCGTCACCTGAGAATCTCATCTCGACGATAAGAACAAGATGTGCTGGAGGAGAAAATCCTGAGCGGCGCACTCTGGAATCGACGCTCGAGTCGATTCAACGGCTGCACCGGCATCTACGAAAACGCCCATCGCAACATCATGGTCCTTTAAGGTTCCCACCGTCGATGTACAGAAAAGTTTTCTGAGAGAGCTGTAAATAGTTTACTCTGCGGTCGGTAGACGCGCACCGTTTACCGTTTAGTTGCAATAACTTATTTAGGAACAGATGATAATTTCACTCGAAGTGAGGGAGATTGAAAAACGGAGAGAAACAGAGACACAGAGAAAACGGAAACTTGCAGACGAGACTCACCGAACCGACGGAGCCATGGCGACACCGAAGAGCAACAAACTTCTTTCCTCTATTGCATTTTGCATAACAGAAACGCTTATCGCTACTTCATCCTCATTGCCACATGGATGCTTTTGCAGACAATGGTCCCTCACGAAGCTTCTCCGGTCATCTACCCATCAATATTCTTGCGAAAAAAAAGAGCTGAGTCTTCCCACGAAGAAGTCTCTCGATGCGGTCCTCTAAATCTGGCAGTCTTGTAGCCGAGCGAAAGTGAAGCTCAAGCCTGAACATGGGGGTCCGCTTGTGAATTGAACTCTAAATTGACCGAAAATTCCACTACTCATCCACAATCTTGTAACTTTGACAAGTCTCACGAAGCGCAAAAAGCTCTGTCGGTTTCCGGAACTATCTCACTGTGATTACGAATCGATGCCTGACTATATAGACGAGACGCTAACAGAGACGAGAAAAGTAGACGGATGAAAAAGGCAAGAAGACCAACTACTGAGCCAGCGATCACCAGACATACAGGTTGCCTATCCATCCCAATGAACCCAGACACCCCCCGACTTAAGGGCGGAGATCCGACCTCGAAATCCCGAGTCCTGCTCTGTCTCTCGATCCTGACTGGCGAGAAAACTGAGATTGTTGTACATACAAACTCTAATAATTGTAAAAGCTAGAGACGAGAAGAGACTGATTGCGAGTTGTACTTCACGCTGTTGCATCCAGAGCCAGCAGTAAATGTCATGGTGTCTTTGTACATACTAGTTAGTTAGTTAGTGGAGGAGCGGAAAACGACTGAGATTCTGAGGATAACTCGAAAGTCAGCGATCGTCGAAGCGATGATCGAGATTCGGAAGGCGATGATCTTGCGATCGCTAGCTTCGTGCGCAGCGTTAGCGTCCTCCGGTCAAGTCTGGCTCATCGGAGAAGGGATGAGGAAAATGTGAACTCGCGAAGTGATGTCAAAACCCTGGAAAATGATCTGAGACGAGAGAGTAAAGAAATAATTGCCGAACTCGACAAGAAATCGATGGAGATTGACATAGTTAAGAGGAAGGAGAACGAGATTGCCGAGTAACAACAATAATCATTATGCGAAAAAGAAAATGAATAAATATCAAGGATTTTAAAGGTAAATGAAAGCTTTATTATAGTTTTTCTTCGTCAGTCTCTTCTTCAGGATCCTTATCATCGTTCTAACGTGTCGGGATGCTCCGGGTGCATGATCAGCGAGCAGATATTTCGCGACGAGAGGGAGTTCGCCGCAAATCGAATTGTGGGGCAAACTTGGAATCGTTTTGGCAATTTTCGAGCCTGGCGCCTCGCCAATAGTATTTGTTGTTGCTGATGCTTTCGTCCCGGCAGCGGCGGCAGCGTTGACTTCGCCGTTCCCTCGAGCGTCGGCGGCGGCTAGAGCAACACTATCGCCAGTCCCAGCATCAGCTCGATAGCACAATGAAAGAGTCCTTCGAACGAAGGTTGAATTCTGAGCTTTCAGTTCGCCTAGCTGACTGGCTTATGCAGTCCGAGTCGAAACTGAGTTCCCGGTGCCCCGTGATTACTGGTTGTCACCCGCGCCTCACTTCTCTGTGGCAGCTCGTCCGTCTGTCCGACCATCCATCCATCCGGCGCTCCGTTTGTCTGTCTCCGTTTGTGCATTCGTTCCTAAGTCCATGTATAACTATCTATCCGCAACTCCACCGTCTGTCACAAAGGGATCCGCGCGGAGACATCGACCACAAGCGATTCTGGCGAATTTTCAGAGCGAACAGCCTCGATTCCGCGCAAGCATGCAGCGTCAGCTCCAGTTGTCATCTCTACTGAGCCGATCTCAATTGATTTCCTTCATCGCCGTGTCTCAGATCCATCGCGTCCCCAATCGAGCACATCGGGCCCTCTCATGATTGAGAGAGAGACGTTTACCCTGGGTTTCCGAGGCGCAAAACTCCGCTCGATCGGGAGCCCATTCGCTCGGAGCAAAAGTCAACAGAAAAACTCCAGTCATCAGGGTCTTCTAATCCTTCAGAAATGGTTCTTGCGAGGGCCGATGACATCCATCGATGAGAGATCATCAAGTCCACACGGTGATGAACTAGATCGCGATTAGAAGGGCAGGCGAACGAACGGACGGACGGTCGGGCAGACAGACAGACTGATGGTCTGTATCGCTCAAACTCGTTTCTCGCTCCTTGCTGTTGCTACGGTAGCTCGAGAGTGCCGCTCACACAGTACCACCAGCAGCGCAAGCAACGACAGTAGCAGCAATCCAAGTAACAACAGATAGAGCCGAATGGATCATCGATATAATAGCATGAAACATGGCAGCAGCAGCAGCAGCAGCAGCCAACAGAGAAATGTCTGCCCGATGACGCTTGATGGCAGCCGAAATGGTTTCACTGAAACACAAATGGCTGGAGGGAGAAGAGGCAGAAGACGGAGACAACTCACTGTTATTCTTCCTGTAAGTGAAAAAGAGGAAAATGCCACAAATGATGCCAACCGCTTACCGCGAGCACGAGGAGACTCAGAGAGAAAATCCGTACCGTTCTGCTTCCCCACCAGCGCCGCTGTGCTTCAATTGGATCCATCGAGCACCTTGTTCGGTTTCCGAACTTTCTGCGGAACCGAAGAGAATGGCCGATCGCAGGATGCGCCAACTTGAACGGGAAATGGGAGTAGACCGTAAGGTATAATCGGTTCGATTTGGATGCCGATTCGTTTTCGACTCGCAATCACTTTAGAGATGAGTCCGGGGTAGAGGAAAATATTCTCGCCGCAAGAAAGGAAGTGAGCGGGGGGGGGGTTCGCCCTGTCGTTCCCGCACCCAGGAGCCCATGTCGAATCGGGCTTCCTCGGTGGCTTTGCCGATTCTCGCGCGCATCTCTCGGTATTCGCTATCGCAGTGCAGTCATAGCGGTCGTCGAGGCATAATTAAAAGAGTCCAGCATAAGCAGTCTGGATCGAATCGATCGAGATTTAGTATTCTGCTCCCATCAGGTCTCGTTTCGTATTCAGCGATGAGCCCTCGGAAAAACTCGAAAGTTTCCTCGTTCGATCGTGGCTCGTTCATAATAGGTTAGGATAAGTTCGACCGACGACGGTTGTTCCGTGGCGTTGACGGGGCAGCCGTGCGTTACATCTCCTGCGTGAGTATTTTCATCAAGTTTCAATTTGGAGGCGCATCGGTGAGTCTCCGTGAGTCGAGTCTTTTCTAATGTAACATGAAGATTGAATTCCTTCCATTTGTTTACTTGAGCCGAGCGATTGAAACAGCCAGCCAGAACACGCTGCGGTCAGGCAAGCGAATAGGATGGCGGATACAACGTGATGAGCGGAAAGTTTTCTATGAATGCTGAATAAAGAACGACCCGCAATGAGGCAAGGATCTGTCGCAGCTTAGCGTCAACCCAAAATACAGCCTTCGGACAGAAGCAGCCCACGAAGCTTGAACTTGCCTTAGCATAATTTTTCCCATGAGCAAATTGTTCAGATGTAGGTACCTATCTGATCTACGGTGGCGGGCAAGGCGCAAGGGCGACGTTCTGGGTTCTGGGAGAAGCTCATGGGAACCAGGAAACCTGAGATTCGTCCTCTCTACATTACGAAGCTCCGATGGAACTCTCGGAAACACTTCTGTGGATAATCGAGAGAAACGTCAGGAAATCCGTATCGTTCTCAGTCGTTCGAGTCGGAGAGTTGGAACAAATCACGACCTCCCACTCACAGTCAGAGGCGCATCGATGAGCGTCCATTCCTGTGGCGGGCACATGCATCGAAGCATCGCGTGCCCGAGAGCGGGTTCGCAAATCCTGTCCGGACGTTTTCCATGCTCCAATCTCTGTGGTTTTGGTGGCTGGAGAGAACGTGTTTGTCGTAGACCGTGTCGCCTCGGGCGTTTGTTTGGCAATTTAGTGTTTGCACATCTTGCCAAGCCACTGGGCACGACAATCACGAGCAACAGCATCATCGAGTCAACTCTACTCCAGTGAGGCATGCGGAGAAATGCGGGGTTTTACCAAGCTTTGGGCCGAACGAGTCAACAGGTGAATCCATCAACAACCTTAATCTGCTTACAGTTACCAATAGCGTTTCGCTCCGAGGCACTCTTCCACCTGACGAGTACCCACTCGGAATCAATCTTTTGAGTTGACCTCGTTTGGAAGTCGCCGGTGCTTTCCGCCACTCTTTCCGGTTGCGCGGTTCTGCAACTTCGTTGGAGTCTCTGCGTATCATTCCACGGCGACTTCCGCTCGGGATAGAATTCGGCGCCCGACCGCGTCTGGTCGGATCCTAGCTGTGATCCGGAGCAGAATTTCCTTTCCAGGATAAATTCGTTGCGGCCTGCGGTGACCGTGGACCTGGGCAAAAAATCGGAATGAGCCCTCGCGATATCCTCGTCCCAAAGCGGAAGAAAAAACCGCGGCCGGCCGGCGGGCGGGCTGGCAGGCAGGCAGGCAGGCGCGCGGTCACAGTAGCGAGCGAATGTGCGACACCTCATCTCGAAGTCTAACTTGATTACCGTGGGCGGCAACCACCGAACGCGAAGAGAGATCCTGTCGAGCGGAAGTAAGTTGAATATATTTGACATCTCTGACGACGGGGACTACACACATACAAACGTTCACACACGAGATCCCGCACTTATTTCCATGGACTCGGAGAAAGAAGATATAGTAGGCCCGGAGAGGTATCCAGAGGACGGAGGTGATATGAACCGCGAAATTCGAACGGGCGGGCTTGCCCAAATCGTCGACGAGACGAACGGTGAAATGACAGACGAAGACGCAGAGATCGGGCCGCAGATGAAGAGAGAAAAATCGATGTAGAGGCGTGCCGAGCAAATTGGGTTATAGGCTCACTTGAGAAGGCTCCATTGTAATGTAGTCCAAGACGCATTGGTCACGAGTGCCTGAAAGATCGCTCACCCGATACGTTGCGGAGCGAGCCTGAAGAACAACATCCAAACATAGAAAGAATTTGTCCCTCGAGCTTTCAAGTTGGGAAGTTAATCTGCCTTTGGTTATTCGTCGCATTGATGCTCCGAGGCCATGTTAAGAGTTCGGACCTGGAGGGGGGATCAGGACCCGGCTCGGCCCATTTTCATCTCTAATCCGTTGGGCTCCCCGGTCTTCCCGGAGCAGTGGAATGTCCTGGAAACAAATTTCTTCAGCGGATGTTCTAGACATAGAGCTCGACCTTCTTCAGTGGGCTTGTCGAGTGTTGATTTTAGGAAATGGCACCCGACTCGGAAGAACTTGAGCGAAGATCGTCCTAGCGAGTTCCGGCCCAAAGGTTTCTGCGAATTCCCATCTCGATGGGAAATTCTCTTGTCTCCGATCCGAGATCTCACCTTACCTTTGACGCTCCGACATCATGTCCTATAAACGTCTAAATGTTCCCCCATTCGCAGGAGAGCATCCGAGCGTTCAATAGTTTCTTCGGTTTCCGATTCCAACTCCGAAATACGTCCCCGGGAGCTCAAGAGTCAGCTGGAAGGATTATGACATCGGGGAATTTAGATGGACCGACGTGCTCTTCGAAAGTCCTGCGACAATTTCGCTGTGCGCTGAACAGTGCGTTCAAAGAGGCAAAGCGCCAAACAGCAAAAGGAGGCAATAAGTTCGCTGCGGCGAAAGCCTCGAGCTCATCTGCAATTCCTTTGAAGTGAGTTTGCAATCTTTAAGCGGGGGTGTAGTATGTGTGTGCGCTCGCTCGCCCGTCAGACAGACGGCCTGCCTGCCTGCCTGCCTGCCTGCGAGTGGATCATGAAGAGCAAGGCAAAGAGCTGCGTGCGTTGCTCAACTGGAGGCACAGAAAACAATAAGCGTTCTCGATTGAACTCAGATAAAAGCGTTCGTGTGGAATGAATCCGAGCGAACGCGGCAGCCATAGACGGACAAGCAAGCGGGAAGACGAGCGTAAAGAAGAATAAATAACGAATAAATAAGCGAGCCATATTAAATTGGGAGCTGTAGCCGCGACAAGGAACAAATGATCCCTCCAGCCCGCGAGTGAAACCGGGTTTAGCCATACATATGCGCGAGGACGCTGGGGTCTTCGCCATTGCCGAGTGGATTAGATGCGAGTCCTTGAGGGAGACGAGCAGGGAATGAGAACTCCCTCGTTAGCGTCTGGAGACGAGGAACTCTGGATGGCAGGTGAATGCCGTCAAAATAAGGTGTTTGTGCTGGCGTTTGTAGTTCGCCGGTGGTTTAGGCGCCTGAAGACGCGCCTGGTGCAAGCGTCATCAGTACTATGAAACTCTATCGCTCGCGCCACCAGCCGACAGACAGTCTGAGTATCTGTTGGTCGGTGGGTCCAATGCAAAATGCTCAGTTGAACTTTATAATCATAGCTTTGTTCTCAGCTAGTGGCGAAGTCGTTCGTTGCTCGCTTTGAAATGCCTCTTCATTCTAATGATATTTACCCAGTTGGTCGACTGTCCGGTGGCTGGCTGGCCGGCCGGCTAGCTACCAGGCAGAGCAGCCAGCTTGCCGATCGCTCGGTGGCTGGCTGGCTGCTCGCTTGCTTGCTCGTTCACTCAGTCGGTGTTAATAATAGTAATAAAGCCTGAGGCTGACTTCTGAATTCGGAAGCTGGAACCACTTTGCCTTTGGATCTACAGACATTTAGAGACGACATACATTTAAGCAACTTTGTTTATAAAACTGGCTCGACGGACGGATGGACGGATAGCAGACCGACCGACCCGGCGTTATAGCAAATGACGAGGCACTTAGTTGGACACACTCTGCTCTGCTGCACTCAATTTAGCGAGTGTCTTCGTTCTCACGAAATATGTGTGAAGTCCTACAACAATGACGAGGATGGCGACAGATGTTATGGTATCGTACCTTCTTCGCCTCTGTCTAACCTGAATTCTTCGAGAAAGAGTTCTCATATCTGTACGTTGGAGTTGTGTTCTCCCCCGTCACGAATCCGTTGTCTCTTGTCTCAACATAATTTCTCCAGTTCCTGTACTGTGAGCTCGTTCCCATTACGAAAAGTGGTGGAAGAATTCTTCCTCAGAATATGCATTGATCTTATCGTACATGTCCGATCTCCATTACTCGGAATGTCCGAAGTCATCACTGTCCAATGAGTGCTCGACGGCCCCGATCCCCTCATAATGTGCCGGAGCGTTGGCCAGCCTCTCGAGCCGGAGAGATTCGTGCAACTGATTGTGGATCTGATAAGAGTTTTGTCACATAATGTCGTGGGTTCGTTGAGCGCTCTCTCGCCCGACCTCGAGCACCCTCTCGTCTCCGACAATAAGCGGGGAATCTACCGGCGACAGGATCCAGAAACGGAACATCATTCCTCGGGGATTGAATGGCCACGGAATAATTAGGTAGTCGTTTAAAATGAAAGAGCAACAGTTTAGCGAGTCACACTACACCTTTAGCCACACGCATAATTAAACCGCCCATAAACAAACGAGTGGATGGCGAACGGCGGTCGGGAGAACGACACGCCGGCCGCCAGTAGACGCCGAGCCAGCACCGACTTGCCTCCGCAGCTTCTGACAGAGAGTTCCGCGCAGCAGAGAAACGGGTCCGACCCACACCCGCCTTCAGCGGTTTCTGCCTCACGGTTACTGAAGCCGTCCGGGGCCTCTAGAACCGAACACCAACTAAGAAATGACATAACGAGGATGAGCCAAGAGGACTAGCTACCATTCGGTTCTTCTGAGACTTTTCTGGCTGCAAAGGTCGAGAACGACAGACGAGACGGAAACGAAGCTGAAGATTCGGGGACGAAACACGATCGGAGCACCGAGATGGAGCGCTACGGCAATGCCCGGGGATAGTTTGATGATCCTTATTAAGAGACGATCAATATTAAAAAATCAGTCGTCCGTCGAGAGGATGGTTCCACGGAGCTACGACGGCGGGCTCCCAACCCACAAGGTCGGGCATCAGACGGAGGTGAACATTGCATAAATTCGTCTCGATTGTTCGCTTCAGGAGATGAGCTGCTGCCGTTCCGTTGGTTCGAGACAATTTCGTCCATTGAGCTGGGTGTTCATTGTGGGGTCTTCGTCATAATGGGTGTTTATTGTCGGCAGGCGGCGAGTAAGAGACGAAAAAAAGCTTCTCTTTAACTCCACCACCTGATTCGGCTTCGAGAAAATGAAGAAAAGGAAGGAAGGAAGGAGATTCTCCCCGTTGAACAAACGTTGCACGGACTGAGGGGCGGAGTTCTCCACTATTTTTTTCTTCTCTGTCGCCGTCGTCATCTTCTTCTTCTTTTAAATCGGCAACTATTTCGAAAATGACGCCCAGCTATCCAGCCCGCTCGCCGGCTAGCCATTCCTCTAGTCAGCAGCAAAGCAGACAATCGACTTTACGCCATTTCGGTCATCATTTCTACGCTTCTTCGAGCTACACCGACCGGCGCAGGGTTCCAAACGGAGTTTGTCTCTTTTCTCCGCGGCGTCTGAAGGAGAAATAGGCCAGGGAAATCCGCCGAGTCCCGTTACACCACTCCCGAGTTGGTAAACAAGTCACGTTGAAGGCGAAATACGGAAATTTCGCGACGCAGATTCTCTGCCATCAGAGCCCATTCATCAGGCTGTACTCCAACGACATTCACTGTGAAAGTCCAACGCACAATTCCGGAAATTTTGAAGTGGAATCTCGAAATCGTCGATACCTGCTTAGAAGAAGCCGCTTCCTAGAAACTCTCGGGAAGAGCTGATATGATATCTCTCATGGAGTTGTTGATCGAGACTGTTCTCAGCATCACAAGTGGTGGGCAAACAACAAGAATCTGCGATTCGGCTTTCTTCCACGGGCGTCCGTGGGATACTCTCTTCACGCTCTCCACACCTTTTTCGAGGGTAGGTTTTTAAACTCAAACGACGTTCCTGGATGTGGTGCAGTCAGTGAAAGTGATTGCAATGAAAACCAGTCGTTTCGCAGCTCTGATCGTCGGACTGGCCCTGGCGCGGGCGACTCCCGAGGCGGGACAGCTCGTCAGACCGAAACCGTCCGAACGTACGGAATCGAAATGTTCTCAAGACCTGTGGGACTCTATTGCAGAGATGGAGCGCTACAATAATTGGACCGTGCAAGACTTGGTAGGTCGCGCTCGCGTTCGAGCGGAATACGGCTCGAAGAATTGAGCGCTTGCCGAGACAATCATATATGATATTCTAGCGGGACTTGGCTACTGGAGAATCATGATTTCAGACGAGAGCATCTGGTTTCACCGTGGCGATAACCCAGTGGAATTCTGTCGTCAGCTCACAGTGCCTCCAAACCGTATTCGAAATCTCGGATAACCTCCTCGCCGTGTCGCACGTACATCCTACGCAACCCTTGAAAACCTCTTATTATAATATCGCAGACGGGACTAACGCCACTGAAACGAGTGAGTTCAATTCACCGACGGTGAGGCGAACTCTGGATCCCGCACCCCAACGATCCAAAAGTGGCGGCTCAGCAGTATCAAAAATATTTCAGCGACCACCAGGCCGATCGAAGATGCCCCGAAGATGATGATCGCAGGCGCGTCGCGCAACTTCGCCGTTTACGTGATGTGCAACGAGCAGAGCTCGAATTTGAATCTCTACGTTACGTACGGCTCCGCAATCACGAACGATGAGAAGAAAACAATCAACACGTGGATCAAGGCTTCGAGCTTCCCGATCATCGGACGCTGGGGTGCCGTCAATTTCGACACGTGTTTCCTGACAAAAACTGTGAGTCTCCTGTTCTAGAACAAGATTGAGCTCGAGCTCGATAGAGGGTCCGCTGTCCAGCGGGGTTTAACAACGGGAATCGGTGATTTTCAGTACGTCTGTAACGGAGGGAGGACACAATTCTGTTCTGGAATCAACAGGAAATCGAAGCAGGGTAGCAGCGAAGAGCGTGACGATACCATGGAAATCATCGACTTGTTCGGATGATGGCCCACCGCCAATGGTGCTTCACATTCCTGGTCAGAGAATCCTTTCTTGAGGAACGCTCTCGCGACGGCTTCTCAACAGCGGATCGGGCTCTGACTCTTGAGATAAATGGATCTCTTCTTCAATTGTGGACGGTGTCAGAAAACGCAAATAAAGTGTAACTGGAGCCGTCGACGGTACCATCCAAGCGTACTATCGCCTAATATCTACACGAACACTGTTTCTAGGGATTTGATAAGGTACTGAGGCAAGCGGCCATTGCTACTAGCCACTATGGTATAAGGAGAACTTCGCTCATACGGACCACTTCGGAAGGATGACTGAGGACACCTCGGAGCTAGATTCCGGAGCTGGAGAGTCTGGAGTGAAATACGTCTGATGCCAGATGAATGTTCCATGAATAGATGCGATGATTCTTCCATCCACCTCGCCCGGAGCATGATTTGAAACTTAGGATACTTGAAGCTTTTGGAGGCAAGAAGCCCCGAGCGAAATTTGTTTGACAGCGATTACTCCACAAATTGACTTCGCCATACTTGAGCCATTATCCGCTCGCTTGCCTCTTGATTTTCCGCAAGTCTCTTGTTCTTCTACGTTCGACGACAATCGATCCAGATAATTTCTTCTTCGATTCTTCTGACTAGCGCGACAGAAGAAGTCTTGACCTTCCGCCGCGAGTCCCCGAGCGATGAGCCATCCTGCGCGACTGGCGATTTCTGCAAGACGCTCATTAGAAAATGACGACAGGATTTTGCAAAATCGATGATCCCGGTTTCCATTGATTCATGCCTACGTCGAGTGGAGATGTTTCGAGGAAGATGTGAGAATCCGAAATTCGAGACAGAATGTGTCTTCTACAGCAGGGAGATTTCGACCGCTCCTGGGTTCCCGAAATTGCATAGCAGTGGACGGTTCCGCTCAGACACTCTCGGATCGGATACCCAATCCGTTTCTACACAATTTTTTTTTCTATCTGTATTGCACAGCACGGGATGTTCTCGATAAAACCGAGCTTATTTCCCTTCAGGAGGAGATCACCATCAGTCATCGTCCGGATTCTCTCCGAAATATGTTGTTTGCTGATGTGGTTTCCATGGAACGAGCGTCACGAGCCATGCTCAAAGGTGAAGCGAGCTATCGAAGCGGCGATTTTCGATTATCGTGAGCGTGACTTGTCGAATGCATGCGTGTCTGTCCCTTGATCTCCAAATATAACCCTTGGCTTAACCCTTCCTCGACAACAGCTCTAAGAGCGAACCAATCAAGTGGCCAGAGAGCGGGTGAGCGAGCAAGCAAGATTCGCCAGCGGCTGAGGCCGATCCCGAATCGAGTCCGATACTTCCAGCGTTGAGGCCATGACAAAGTGAGCTGTCAGCACGACATGTGTCTTCCAGAACGAACATTTCTCTCGGAAAGCTCATCGCGATCTATTTACAGAACAAGTAGACATGTATCTTCTCGGCCAGAAGGCAATTCATCATAGATGAGAGCGATCCGTCATTAAAATCAAGAGTGTTTGGACTCTCCGGGTTCCTCTACAATTCGGAATTCGCACGGAGCTCGTTTCTAGATAAGCGGGATAGTCAGAGAACGGGTTGTGCAGCTCGGAATTCCGTCGCGATCCCCGCCCTCGGTGGGCTGATCATCATCCGTATAATCCGTGCAGGTGCCTCGATGAGCGTTCATCTCTCCCCTTTGGCGCTCGGTAGATTTGTTCAGTGTTTGTGTTCGTTCCTTTTGTGACTGATATCTATAAGGTCCTCTCAATTCGTTCGCTCTGAATATCACGGATAATGATATGTTCGGACAGCAGAAGGCTGGCGCCTCATTTTGGATAACGGCGAGGCTGTGAGCAAGCCAGCGAACGGACGACCGACCGAACCAACCAACCAACCAACCAACCAACCAACCAACCAACCAACCACTAACTGAGAGAATAGACGAACTTCTTGACCAAGAAACGAAGTCTCGGGATTCACTTCGATAGCTTCTGTTAGGTTGGCGAAAGAGGGGGTTCGGGGCCACGACACGTCATTCGTAGCCTCACTCGTCAAAATTCACCCGATACTGGGAATCGGAGAAAAAATAAGATGCAGTCGATGTCTAGCACGACCGAGAAAGCTCATAAGCTGCCCGGATCCGCTCAATGAATTGCCTCACACACCTGACGCGTCGGTCGACTTCACTCGACCATAAGTCACCGCTTAGCACTGAATCCTGGAGTCGTTCTCCGTGCAGAATTTAAGGAACTCATCACCCCCGCAAGTGTTGAGATCCGAATCTGAACTTCAGGAGAGAAGACGGTGCAACCAAAGAACGGCCAACCCCAGAGAGAATACATGCCGCGCAAGACTGACCGAGGATAGGACAAATCAGACAGGATTTGGGCAGTGGGCAGACGGAATTGATGGGAAGAAAATAAATGCAGTTTCCCGGAGTGCTTTCTCCTGTGACGGAGAAGGGGGAAACGTGGGGCGGCTTTAATGGAAGCTCATCGACGATTCGGATCACCTCCGCCAGGGCAAATTAAGCGTAGGATAGGATCATAACCGGAACTCGAAGACGGCAGTCGCCGATTCAGTATCTATTTCTAACATTGGTTTTCACTCTGACTTCCACGAAACGACGTCATCCGGCTTCTGTGAACGGTGCATGGAATCAGGATCCACGCTTCATCGCCGCTCCTGAAAGTCTTTGATATCCTGAAAAAGTTAACCGATCCCGCTGCAGACCATTGAAGCAGGAGTCACTCAAATAATAAACTCCCTCATGGGAGGGCTCTGGGAGTCAACAGACTGGCGGGAGAGCCAGTGATCGTCTGGGACCCACAAGAGTTACCTACTGGCAGACGGTCCAAAATAGTTGAGGATTCGCGTCTCTACTTGTCGGCGCATGTGTACGACTTGCACTGTTGGAGTCAATTCGCCGGATTCGAGAAGACGAAACAGCTTCGGAGCACTGACAACAAGTGGTGCCCAGTGGAAGCTTCTGAAGGTGAACTGGCAAACTGCGATGGCGTGAATGTCTTTCGGTGGTTCTATATTTTATCAACATCTTTCGCTCGTGACCCGTTTGGAGGAGCGCGACCGACACTCGGAGCAACTTGACGAAGTTGACAGTGGCGTGTTGCCATCGGAGAACCACCCTGAAAATTTGATCCGCCACGTTTTGACGTTTTCTTCAAGTTGAGCACGAATTGTCTTCAGCGCTGGGTTTTTGCACTAGTTGATTCTGCAGTCGCACTCGGCCGTCTCCCATCTATCTGCTACTTAATTTAAGGAGAGACACGAAACCAGACTTCCCGACCGAGCCCTCAGTCGGACTTTATTAGACAGAATGACCCGAATGACCGAGCGGACAGAGCTCGCTCACAGTCGGTCAGAAGTCTCACGCGCTTCGCAGAGAGGAATCGATGTGTCCCCGTTTGTACTTTTCCCTCAATATTTTTACCACGAGAAAAGTTCTCACACCCATCGCTAATTTTCAAGCGAGAGCACACACCCACACATAGAGGCGCATATTCTGCGAGGTAATGATAGAGAATTTTGAAGAGTCGGGAACGCAAGAATATGGTGACCGAAAAAAGATGCGTACAAGGGCTCGCTGCCAGGGCTCATTCATGCGATCATCCTGCCACAGATCCACCGGCAGGCGAGCGCATCAGAGCTCGATCTTGGAGGAATCCGGGGAAAAATAAACACGAAGTTTCAGTGTCTCCGAGCATTGCAGAAGATATCTGCTCGAGGTCAACCCTGACTCTCTTCGTGACGGCTGCGAGTCTCCGATGAATGTGGGAGAAGCATCGTCCTCTTGGAAATAATTTCTGCTTGGGGACAAATTCTATACGACCGGGGGAGACGCATAAGATTCCCCGCCGGCGGTGCAACTGCTGTCGAATACTGCGATCCGGGTGGCGCACAGCCTGACGTCGACGTTGTACTTCTTCCACCAACAATATTCCGACTCTTTCTCTATCGGTGGAAGTTCGGCTCATCGTTCACACAACAACGGAAAAGTGAACGACAAAATAACAATGGAATTGAACGCTCCATGGAACAATATAATCGTCTTTGATTCATTCCTCCTCTCGCTGTTGCTACTGTTGATGCCAAGAGTGTTACGACGACAAACGTGCGATCTCCATTCGTGAAAATCCAAGCTGGATGATAACATTCAGCAAGGAACTTCGGTACCATCGAAACACTTCCGAACAGTGATGCCCGCAGTATTCTTCTCGGAAGGGGCGAGATCGGGTCTTCGCGCAGGGCTGCGGTCCAATACGGCGACTCGATGCTATAACTTAGCTCTGCGGCAGCTTTGAGTTGGAGGGTCTAGGTCCGGTCCAGCATGAGCCCGAATCATTCGGTTACGAGCGGGCGATACACACAGAATCACAGAATCGTGAGTCGACAAACCGGTATGGAATTGATTCAACTTTCCCCAGGGATTCCTACCGGAGTGCCACGGGGAATCCATGATTCGTTTCCGGGTGTCTGGCTCGACGCATCGCGCGCCTCGACACAGGATGCGAGAAACACCATTGAGGAAAGCTGGGCAGAGTGAGTATAAGATTCCCTGCGATCCGAGTGAAGCTTGAACCGATCGAAAATGATGTGAGTCTCGGGATGAGCATCCACGAGTCCTTGGCGCCTCGTCTCCATGCCTGATGCCTTTCTGGTCACGATATCATCCTCCTGCGTAGAGAGACTGTAGAACTCTATTGCGTGTCGATGACACTCCAGGAGGAATCGTCAATGCAGTCTCTGATACTCGATTGCAGGCCTGAAAACATTATCTGTTGAACCACGTGAGAAGTTTCATCCGTCCGTTACTGTAGCAGAGGGGTGAGACGTGAGACTGATCCGCCTCGCAATCATAGAAAACTCCGGGCCAGGGTCGAACTGAGCATGAACGATCCTAGACATTCAGCTCGTTCCGGATCCGATTTCGCCAACCGCGTGAGTCCCCGACATGTGGCGGAGGTTGGGAATCTTGGGAGGGTTTCGGTTCCAGAAGGCAGCTTACGAAAGTATCTTCAGAAAGAGCTCCACAAGGAAATCCAGATCAGATCACATTTTAGTCCTGAAGCAAGCTAATTGTGGGAAAACGACCGCCCATGGGACGGCCCCATTTCTACGGAAAATCTTAACTCGCTTCAGCGGCTTCCGCTTAACTACGGCGGATCTATCATG